CTTTCTTAGATCAAAATCTTATTTAGTCTTTTGCTGTTTATTTCAAATTCTTTAAGTTCTTAAGCTTGTAATTAATTTTTCTCTTGTTCAGAGATGAAGATAAACTCACCCAATTAAGATTTTTCAAACTTGTCATTCCGAAGGTTGCTAATAGCTTTAAGATAAATAACAGGCAGTTTCCAAAAGTGATTAGGAAGTGAGGTTTGCAAACTTAGTGTTCTTTAAAAGGCTCCACTGCAGTTGTGAGCAAGATGGCTGATCCCATTGTGTCTCAGTGCTCAAACCCATGGAAAACTGCTGTCCTGTGGTCTCCTTGGGAGCAGCAGCCGCCCAGAGCACATGTGGGTGTTTTCCCATCCTCTCCCTATCCAGAGAGGTTCCAAGGAACCCACCTATTCACCAGTTCCTTGGTCTTTGCCACAGTCATTGGCTCCACTTTTGAAGAGCCATCTTCAGTTCACCATATCTCCCCCGGAAATCTTCTTGACTTAGCATTTCTTACACTTCTTCTACAAAACGTTGCTTGTCCCAAAAAGAAATAGCAGGATGGATATGTATGTATGTACATTACATATTCTTAAGAGATGCCTTGGTTTAAATGTCTGGATTTTTTTATTGGCCTAAGTCAGATGTAAGGACAGATGTAATAGACAGAATGTCTGGCATTAGGCTTTGGCACAGGCTTTGTTCTCACTTGTGTGTAGCCACAGCACAATGGCTATGCCCTAGGAACCTCAGCTTGACCCCCCAATGTTGCTCTCATCTCATCTCTAACCCATGAGTGATACTATACAAAATCATCATTAGCTGTACTGGCTTTAAGGTAGTTTTTCCCATTAATTCAGGCCATCCCACAATAACTTCAAGATATTAAAATCAGGTAGACTTCATGACCCACTACATAGAAAACAGTCCTGAAAATAATCAGAAAAGTGCTGAGTGCTTCAGGCACAATAACTGGAGCCTATCTTGATGGAGACTTCATATTAACTATTTAAATGTGAACAGGTTGGAGTACCTCCTGCTGCATGGGAGGATGACCAGATTATTATACGGGTGTTAGACTGCTGTGGTTCACATGAATTCTATTACTTTTTTGATTGTGTGCAAGGCTCAAATAGCATAACAGTGAAATGACAGGAAGGAGAAAGAAACTTTATTTCTACAAAAGCTTCTGAAAAAAGCTCTCTTTCCCAAGGGCTACAGCTAGGGACTCAGCTTCCTTTACGTTTCCTTTGTATTTTGATTCACACTTTAATCTGCTTGTAGTATTTGGAGTAGGAGAAGGTGCACACCAAGAAGAGTCTTGAGAAGCTCAGCGAAACAGTGCAGGTCTATTGGGCCCCACCCACTTCATTTCTGCTGAAGTGTTGTGATCAGAGGATGTTTCTCCTACCAGCTAGTGAAGATGCAGAGCAATAAAGCCAGAGGAACAGTCTATCACAAATGGCACACGCAAAAATCAGGATAATACCCAATTGGCAGTGATTTGGACCAGAAGCAACAGCCGCAAGATATGGATTGGCAACAGGGACAGCAAATTTCATTCAGATATTGTTTCTGCCTATTGAAGGATGGAGAAATTAGGAAAAGCCGCCCTTCGCCCCCCCCCCAAATATCCACTTTCCTCGAACAAAGAATTAACTTTCCCCAAAATGATCTAAAGTGGACAGACTATGCACCTTGCATTATATTCCCTCAAGAGAAAACAAAGTTCAATAAGAAACATTTCTGTATTTATTGTAAATAAACAAATGGGCATGTGCTATTCCAGGCTGAAAGAAGCAGCTGTTTTCATGTAAAGGACCCATACATACTTCCTGCTGTAGCTGAAATATTCGAAACCAGAAAAGCAAAAGTTGAAAAAAAACCCGAGCAAAATAAAAGAAGATACACAAAAGCCATCAGTTGCCATCGAATGCAATATACAATAGAGCAATTATGGAGAGAAAGGAATTTAGACTGAATTCTAAATTGTTTTATCTTGTTTTTAAGTTAAATGCCTGCCAGTGAACACTATTAACCCTTGAAGAAATGTTGTTTCTTAGGAATGAGAGTCTCAGCAAAAAATTAAAAATAGTTTCTAGCAAAATTGTGTTTAGACATGCAATATTGTTAAATTACTCACAGGACAAGTTGTTCACTAAAGGTTCTTAGAGCTTTCTGTAACTTGAGCTATTGCAAATTGTAAAGAGCTATTTAAATCTCTGGTGGAAACTTAATGCAATAACATTTGTAACCAATGTTTCACTTGTTTTCTATAAAGTGAAATTCAGCAGATTTCTACAAAAAGTTTAAAACTATTTAATCTGCCACATCCTGAAGACCATAAAAACACAAGGAATGGCGCAAACAAATGCCAAGAATCTTTTTGACATACCATTTTCATAATGCACAAAAAGAACCCATTTAGGATGACATAATTCATAGCTCCAAATATCCTTAAATAACTATCTAAAGTTAAAGGCATTAAATAAAATAAGACTGATACTGCAATATTAGTCTATTGATATATTTTCCATTGGCTAGTTAATCAGGCTGATTAGCGGGGAGGGGTGGGGAAAGTGAACAGGCCCCTGGCTGACATGAATTACTATGAGTCATGTCTGTGAAGCATAAACATAAAATAATAAAAGAAGATGTTGAAATTTTGTGAAAAAAACAAGATTTCACAATGAGTGCTGAAATCTTTCAAGATTTTGTGAGATTTTTATAGTCTTGAATTACCAAACTTTTGTAAGATCTCTTAAGATCTTGCTGAAAACTTGTGAGGGGCACCTGGATTTTCACCTGAGATTACACAATAATGTTTAACGTACTGGCAAGATTGCCAGGCCCCTTATATGTGATACAAGTGGGTCATATCCCTTCTTGTCTCAGCCTCCTTATGTGTCCCTCAAATTTGGGGAAGATTTGGAATGTGTTGAGAGGAAGAGAGAAGGGGAAAGCCCAACTTTTACTATAAATGAAACTGCTATACCTTGAGGGAAAACTGGTACATGGGGTTGATGGTATTGAGGTCATTCATGATGAAATACAGCAGGGAAGCACGAGCTGCTGCAGGACGGTAATGTTCCCTTGCCTCATTAATTTTGATTTCTGTCATCTTGGACTCCTGGACCTGAAAGGAAGTAAAAATAAAACCATGAAGAGGCAAGATAGCCGCATCTACTGTAGGTTCAGATTTTCTTGGCCTGCATGAGAAGAGAATGGTTTTAGATAAATTATATGTATATGTAGCATGTGGAGCAGACCTCCTCTCCTGCCTGCTTTTAATGTGTCAAATCCCAGCATTGCCAGATGTAGCATGCATACATTTAACCATTACCTCACCCATAAATTAGTTATCAAGAAACTGACTTCCATCAGGTTCTCCTTCTCTTTCCAAGGTCATTACTATGCCCATATTAAATTTTCACATATCTTAAAATGGAGGTGTTACATAACTTTATAACAAGTTGGCAATAATTCACAGAAGAGGATGCATTGAGCTCCAGCTTCACAAACCTCAAAGAACCACAAGCACAAATAGTTCAGAAACATCTCTCATTTGTGCTGAAGTGCAAACCTGGCGGTACTCGTTCCCATGGCTACTCAGTGTGGTACAGGTGAAAGACGTTGCCAGTATTTGCAAAGCAAATAATCTATGTCAGATGAGTGTTTTCACCCAGGGAGCAGCATCTTTGCTAAGATACTGAATTCCATCCAATTTCATATGGACCATGGAAACTTCAGTGGATTCTGCCATATTCCATAGCCTCTGCTCAATTCCTAGTTTAATTCAGTAAATGTAATGCATGTGAATTAACTCAAGTTAAGTAAAACACTTTGGTATTAAACTTAAATGTTTTAAAACATCTCGTGAGAGTGCTACAGTTTTATGGTCTTTGCATCCAATGCTACAATTTGCCTTAAATTGCTTATTTAATACATCTGAACTTAAAAAAATATGCTTACTAAATCTTGCCAGAATGTGGCTTTATCATGATTTCTAGTCTCCAAGCTGCAGAACAAACAGGATGCATTTAAACAATTCATTTTTTTAATTTTTTAATTTTATTTACACATTACAAAAAAAAAATTGACAAAACACCTAAATACATTAAACACACACACACACAATTAACAAAACAATATTTAAACTTAAAGGGAAAAAATAGAAACTAAAAAACAAGGAAAAAATTAGGGAAAAAATGAACAAATTAAAAATAAGAGAAAAAGAAAAAAATCTATCTTATATATTATACTTGTCAATAGTAACTGGTTTACTAATACTGTAAGTACCATACCAGTATTTAAACAATTCATATTCATTCAGTGTCTTTTAACATAGATTTTTGTTCCCAGCCACACACAAAATTCAGTTTTGCATTTTTACCTTGTCTTCAATTTCTGCTGCTGTTTGTTTGGTGACTTCCAGATTCTCCACCAAGGCATTATCCGCTAAAAAGTTCCCTGAGGCAGAGGAGAGGCGGGACAGCAAATTGTCCTCCAAAGTTTTCAAGGTAATTTTGTAACCATTCTGCTGCTTTGTGAGATCAGACTGTAAAAGGTTGAGATACAGGCATACAGTATATCGACCCTGTCATCATTTTCACAGCAAAGATTTTGTTAAAAGATCATCTGCTGGAAACTCCCTCTTTGGGAAAGTGAAATGCAACACAGCAACCCCATCTAAATGTAAATCGATGCTGTACTGGAAAACAATGTTAGCATTTATGCAGCATATATTACAGTCCACATTAAGGATGTGCAGGGACCATTCACTTCCATTCAAGGGCCCAGCCCAGACTTCCAGAAATCTACACTAGGCTGGTTGCTCCAGAGACAGTCCAATCCAGTTTGATGCCTAGATCTGGCAAGAACCCCAGAAGAAGATATTAGGAGTAAAGAGTTGCAGAAACCCACAAACAGATGTAACATGTTCAGCTGAAAGTGATGAAATGTATACCGTAGCTAAAACTAGAATGTGATGCCCAAATTTCTCAGAATCAGGGATTTTCTAGGTCTAGAATAAATGCCAAAGGCTGAGCAGCACTGGGTGAAACAAACTGAAAGACTAAGGACCTCTCTTAATTCCCAGGTATTTCTAGTGCAAGACAGTATGATTGAGATAATCAATAGTAGTTTGCTCATAATGATCACTCTGCTTTGAGAAGGGACCAACAATCACTGAATCTAAAATCCTCTTTGTTTCCACCATGGCATTTCATTCAAATGATGACTGGGTGGGTCTACTCCTCCCTTCCCTCCAGAGGACTTTTTGGGATGGGAGGTGCCCCTCTCACTGCACTGCCTCTTCAGCAACAGCTCCAGAAGAGATTAGGAGTAAAGATTCAGTGGAGGCCACAGCTGTCTAGTCTCTGCTTGGGTACATGAAAATCTGTGCTGAATTTCCCTCTTCCTCCTGGTGCTCTGAGCTGTTCTCCACCTGAAGTGCAAGTTCAGCCATTCTTACCAAAACTCTAATTTATTGGTCAGGGTTGCTATCCTGACATTACAGATCGGAAGAGAGAAGTCTTGGATGTGGGAAGCATGGAAAAAGGCTGCCAAAGGCTGGGATTTGTTTAATACACACAAGTCTCCTTCTTTAGTTCTTTGAAAATGTTGTTCGATTAAAAAGAGTGTACTCCAGCTGTTCTTAGAAAAGCTACTGTGACGAAGTAATTAATAACCTTTCCTTAGGCCACAGGCTAACCATAGATCTGTTTGAAAAAAAGACAAAGCAAAACCATAAAGCTATTATTTTTCTTACTTTAAAAGGTAAGGACGGTAAAATCTGGGAATTAATTTAACTGAATAGCATTGCTTCTTTAATAGATTTAATGCTTTCTCACATCTACTTAGCCCACTTTGTTTTTCTTGGTATAGTCAGGTTGGGTTAAGAAATATGGGGTAAGAAGTTTAATAACCCGAATGCTATTTTCTGCAGTTTTAACAGTATAAAAGGGCCATATGGTAAACTCAATCTTTTCCAACTCTCTCCATACCAATTCTCTGAATTAAAGTTGGCAGCAACAAGAACAACAGCCTCCCTGCAAATACTATATCTGTTGTGTTAATAACATTAAGAGGCCTAAATCCTCCACACAAAATTTTTCAGACTTTTCCAACAGTACAGGAAGATTTTTCCATTCCCGTTAATGACCCATTTGTTTCCAAATTCCTGTTTATTGTTGTGAACTCTCTACCCTGCACCTTCAGACTTTAGACAGATAATAAATGGTTGGCAACCCATCTAGCAGGAAAATTTAGTTATCTGTGCTATTTATTAGGAAGCCTAATTAAACTTTTAAAGCCCTCCCTATCTCCCAAAACATGGACTTCTTTCTGCGTATCTAGCATATATTTGAGCTTTGCATAGTGGTATGACAGAATGTATCTCTTGCATTATGCAGGTTGATCAACCATTTATATATGTATGTATCTGACATCTGAAGATAAAATTACATTACATAATGAAATGGGCTGTACGTCACTAAACCATATTTTACAATAATTTGTTTTTGAAGCTGCCAAGAACACATTATCTTTTTTTCTTTTCTCTCTCAAGGAGTATTTGACATCCTTTTTCATTTCACAAAGGTATATTAATTCCTCCTGATTTCTCTATTGCCCTGCATTTGGAGAGAGAGTTGTCCATAGGTCCTACAGTTTAATATGAACTCCAAACATTGTAAGCATTAATTACAAAATTTCTTTTTTTCTTTACCCAACTTTCTTTCTTTGATCCATTTATATGGTTGCTCACTCACCAAGTTACTCTCAGAATATACTCCCAACACTGGATTTTAAGACTGACTTTGCCAAAGTTTCTAATTTTTAAAATATGCACATTATATAATAGTTACTGAAGATTTTGGTTTTTCCTGGTGTTACAGTGTTATTTTAATTTGCAAACTACTGTTTAAAAATTAAATACAATTTATATATTTCTTAATTTCCAAGATGCCTTTAACTCTCTGGTTACATGCCACATATTTTCCCATTATTCAAGAAGGCTTATAGTAGATTCTCTCGTTACTACATTGCTTTCTAAGAACCTGGTAGACCAACCTTTTAATACATTCAGATTTTTTACCAATTTATTAATCAGTGAATGTTCCACACTTACTAGAATATACCGCTCACAACAACTAAAATCAATGGGACACAGAATGCCCCTTATAATTAGTCACTTTTTGGTTGCCACAATATTCCCTGAGAAGCTGGGTAGTGACTGTAGATACTGTAGATAGATGGATGGATGGATGGATGGATGGATGGATGGATGGATGGACGGACGATAGATAGATAGATAGATGATTTTCTACAATGAATGGAAAATCTTTATGCCATCTTGAGTTCTTCTCTAGTGGCTGTTGTCTGTGGGAACAGGTTGCTCTAGTCTCTTGCTTAGCAATTATATAATAAAGTGCCACATACAAATGTATTGCAAGGGCTCCTTATGTGTCAATAGCAACATATTGTTCGGCTACAAGAAAGACGGATGACTATTTTCAGTGGAACCAATATTTCTTGGTAAACACATCTCAATCTGCTAACTATTCAGAGGATGGCTCTAGTTTGTAATGTTTCATACACAGCTTGAGAATTAATTTAAGTAACCACTTTAGGACATTTTATGTTTCCCTTGCATGTTCTACTGCATCTCTCAGCATTATTACAACCTAGGCAATGGCATTTGCTGAGCTGTTCATTGACTCAACATATGTAAATTTATTTAGTCAAGGAAAAAACAGAATGAATCAGTGGCAAGAAAAGTCATAAAATGCCTGAACTAAGTAATTTTGCGTATCTACTTTGTGTCATGGAAACACTCCAAAAAGCAGATTAGAATTAGTAAAGCTGCCACCAACTGAACTAATTGAAGGAGCCATGCTGCCGCCATCACAAATTTTATCTGTTTTGCCAAATGAGTTCCAGTGGTAGGAATTTTGAAAGTTATAGTCCCAATACAACTAGAAGGAGCTTCTAGCTTTGGAAAAAGCTGAGCTAATAGTCTATTGAATGTTAATTGCCAGAATTGAAAGTGCCATCCAGGGGGTGCAAGATATTCATGAATCTTTTTATACTGTTAACTAGACACAAAATATATCTAACATGTCTATTCTAAACTCTACTAACTTCATGACTGGTGGGCAGGGCCAAGTCTACAGAAATACTACTTTAGGAATATTTTCTTTAACTTTACCTATCTCTGATACAGACACAGAGAAGAGGATTGTGCTGGAAAGATCAAAAGGAAATTAATTCAGTCCATCTTGGATTCTGTTATTTACCTTTAATTCTTCAAGATCAGGCCTCTCCATGCTTACAACTGCTGCCAGCAGCTGATCTTCTAGACCATCCCTAGTCACAGTAAAATTGATGAGGGTGCACTGTGCTTGCATTTCTGGTTGGTAATGGGGATTTGCAAGTTTTGTATGAAGAATTAGTCGGAAACTGGGGTTGTACTCACATTCTTTATCTCCAATTTTAATGAACCTAAAAGAAGATCAAGCAAAATTACTCATGCTTGCAGTATCCATATGCCATTATGAGACAATTAATTAAATTCCAGAGGTATATATAATTTTATGGTGCAGTGAGAATGGATCATTCTAAATCAGCTTTCCTTGATAAAATGTCCTCCAGATGTAGTACAGACTCCCATAATGTGGGCGATAGCCACAGAGAGCAAGGCTATCAGGAAGGAGGGGGTGCATTCCAGAAAGGGAATGGAGACAAAAAACAACACAGTCCGCAGGGGGAGTGTGGGAAGCAAAAGAGGTTCAGGATAGCCACTCCCTAGAACCTCCCAGGGACCCCAAAA